CAATTCACATCCTCACATCCTCAAATAACTAGATCCCCCCCCCCGTCACCGACAAATCAATACGCACTATAATCAGCACCTGCCTTCTTGTTTCCGCCTTCCGAAAACAATGCACTCATTTCACTTCGCAAAACTTTTCCCACCGCGCGTTACTCTAACTGGTCTCCCATATGAGCCCCGTCCGAATGAAATAGGATTGGACGACACCGCTTGTCCTCGTTCATCAGGCTCGAGTTCTGGAAGTGAGCCACCAGAGCAGCTTTGCCCTGGATTCGGGCGTACGCCAGTGAAGCCACCTTCTCCGAGTTGAACTTCTCCCACTTCTTCCCGTTGAACGCCTTGTAAAACGGAACTATGCGCGACGGCGACATCATGTTGATGAACGCATACCCAACATTGCACTTGTTCTGCGCACCCATCACGCGCCACCTCGTTACCCACACGCCTTCGCACCAAACACAACCCCACACGTGCCCCCCTCCACACCTCACCCACTGTCTCGTTCTGTCCCCCCAAACCTACTTGGAATGCACACCTATGCTCCACCCGACCACTACCAAATACTCAACCCATCACAGTGCCGGTCAACGTACCTTGAAGTCGATTGGAAGATAGATGAAGTCGTACGTGCCCCGATGATGCTCATCGATTGCGGCCAACAGCATCTTCGATGTGTACCTGACATCCCACCGCAACACGTTCAGCCCCAACAACATCACCAAGCCCCACATCCTTCCCACCACCTCCGACACACGATCTGCACTGCTCCTCCCAAAGCCCTACCGAATTCACACCTTCACCACCTCATCCTTTCCCAACACCTCCCACCGCACTCTTCCCATCACCGACCGCTACATCGTCAACCCACTTACTTGTTCGGGATGTTCTTGATCATCAGAGTGGTCCTCGGATCATCCCCGCGCAATATCCGCTCCAGGTCCAGTTGGTACTGCTTCTTGTTGTCCGCTTGCGCAGCAACGCTCTCGCCCCTCCGACTCCGACCCCTGTCCGACGCACCCTCTATTGAACTCGGCCCCAGCGGACCTCCGTTCTGCAGAAAACGTGTCCGAGCCTGAGGAGACATCATCCCCACGTTTGGCGACGATGCGTGCTCCATCCCCGAACTGCCTCCCAGAGAACTGCTCGAGTTCATCATCCCATGCTGGTGACTCACCCCGATGTTTATCGCATGGGCTGCATTCCCTCCCAATCCTGTCCCCGATGACGACCTCAACAGCGAGCTCGACTCCCCCAATGACTCCCCTCCTATGTAGCTGTGACGCCTCTCCAAAAGCGACGGCTCCCCTGATGGCGCTGAACCCACGTGGTGACGTGAAAGACCCGACAATAAGCTGCTGTTGAACGCGTGTGCTTGCAGCTGTGCCTGCCCCATTCCGTAAAACGACTGCCCCACCGACGACGAGTTCGACCACAGAGCTGGAGGCGGACTCTGAGACATGTGCGAAAACGAGGAACTCGGAGTACCCCACAGACTGAACTGCTGCCCGGACAGGGAACCGTTCCCATTCGAGCTGGGAAACATCAATCCGCCGCTACCAGGCCGCACTGCACACATTCGCACCACCGCGTCATCAGCACCTACACCACATCCAGTAAAACCCTAATTTGCAAAACAACCCTTTGTCACTGCGCCACTCCCTCCCCCATGCAACTTTCCACATTGCACCCAGCTCCGACCTCCCCAAATCCCCAAACCTACGTCTGCAATGCCCCACGCCACACGCACCTCCGCTGGCATTCTCCAGCACCGATGTGTCGCCGAAGCTCGTCATCCCGCTCGTCGTCCGTTGCAAACGACTCCCACCGTCCATGCTGTCCCGACCCTCGCGCGCCCTCATCACACCTGCATTGGACCCGGACCCGCCTGATACAGGTGTTCCAAACTGCCCGACATTCATTGCACCCTTGCTGAACTCCGGAAGCGAGTGTGGATGAGGGGGCAACCGATACCCACCCATTCCCCCATGTCCCAGAGACTGACCTCCCGCTTCCATGTGGTTCGCTTGCCCCACATGGCTCCCTATCGTGCCCACTCTGATCGGTTGAGACATGTGCGACGCGAAGTTCGGAACGCTCGGGGGCTTGTTCGGAGACTGGAAATTCCCGTGCCCCAGCAACGGATACATTCCCCGCATCGACCCGTTCTCGGCACCGCCATTCCACATGGAACCATGCCCTGAACACCCCAACCCCCGTTCCAATCACCCCCTCGTCACCAAATGCTTCACCCTACTTGCTCTCCCCTCACCATATCCTTCTTCTTATGCAGCAAACGTCCTTCTACTTCACGCACAATCACTGTACCCACCAACCACGACCCATCTCACCTCCCACACGCCACTCGGCTGTCATTACCTCACAGCAATTCCTACTGCTAGGGCTACAGATCATTACCCGGAGGTGACGTATTCAGCGGCGAATGAGGTTGTTGCCTCGCCCGGGGGTCTTCGTCCCCGGCTTCCTGATTCAGCTGTTGCAGCAAGCTGCTGCTACACCCGCCAATCCCATTCCAAACACAACAAAACGTCAATAACTCCATACCAATCGTCCCCTCACTTCCCACATTGCACTTCACTCGACCGACAAATCCTAACTCCTCTAATGGCCCCCGCTCCGCCGCAGTCCGTCTACACTTCCGACCTCCCCAACTCCAAACGGAACCCACACGCCATTTCGTTACCCCCTCTCAATTTTATGACAACCCCACGACACCTCAACTCGAACCTTCACTCAGGACCAGGGACTAACCTCCGTCGCGCTCCACCTGGTCGACTTGGCTCAAGCTTGATGCGCTTGCCGGCTATATCGCTTCTATTCAGAGCCCGCAATGCCGCCTCTGCCGACCGAACATCATAGAACTCGATGAACTTGTGATGCCGCTTGTGCGGCGTCTCCCGAATCTACCCACATTTCCACACACATATCAAACCATTGCCTCACCGCCTCGCAACACCGCTCAGCCCAGATAGCATATCCTATGTATCACAAACAACCCACGCCTTTCGCACCACCCTCCCCAGTTCCGCAACACAACTCTACGGCACTCGCGACCCATCTCACCACCCCCATGCTCTTGTCCGTTTCGCCCCACATTCAACACACGGGCACCACTTCACATCCCGCTCACCTCTTTCACTTCGCCGTAAACTCCAAATATTAGCCGTAGCTCGTCGTTCGACACCGATGCGTCCAAATTGAACACCACCAGCGTCCCCTGGTTCACGTCCTTGTCCGATGGATTATCCTGCACCCAACACATGCCATCGCAACTACCACTTCAGCGTCTGCACACAACTACCCCATTCCCTGCAACCCCAACCCCGTCGCTTTCACCGCCGACCGAGCATTGCGTTGCGTTTCACCACATGCACCAGACGAGCGACCAACATGCAATCAACCCCAACAACAACCTACTCCAACCGACACCACGCACCCAGAACCTCTAGTTTTCCTCGTAACACACCCACCCGCTGCCTCACCTTCGGGATCGAAAAGTGAATATCCAGCTTGCGCCGCCTCAGCGGTTTGTTCTGCAGCGCTCGCATCGCGCTCCGTGCTGCTCGAATGTCATAATACGAGATCATCACAAACCCTCGATGCTTGCAAGCAGTGTACAACGTGCGGATGGCTCCGTATTGCTGCAGCACACCGCACAATAACACCACTCGTCAGCGCTACCCCGACCTCTACCTACACAACGTACCACTCACTCCGCACTCCCAACACTACGACACACTCCCTGCTCTATCACCACGCTGCCCTTCACACATGACTTCGCATGCATAGCCCTGCCACACTCAGATCGATGCATCACGATGACCATCGTCATGCTAATCCCTCCTGCTGCAACAGTACCTCGAACAGCTGTCTCAACTCCGTGTCCTCCACGTTCGAATTTATGTTCCGCACAAACAGCGTCCGTGACGGATGCTCCCCGTATGGATGCTCTCCAGCAACGGATCCTGCAGCCCCGGACTGTAGCCCCGCCGCTGACCCGTCTCCTAACCGATGGTTGCTCATGTACACACCAAGGGCATCCTGAGCGTCGCCTTCTAGCTCCATCCCACCTCCAGAGCTGAACAGATCGAACTCGTCCAGTTCCTCCATGTTCGCATTCTCGTCCCTCCTGTTCTGCGGAATGTCGTAGCTATCTGCCACCCCCGCCAACAACTCTTCTTCGTCGTCCGGAAGCAGGTTCCCGATCGTGTTGAACTCCAACTCCTCCAACGACCCATATGCCAGCGTGTCGTCCGGGTCCAGGTCGGTGATCAAGTGCGCCGAAGCAGCGTCCAAAGACTGAACCACACGGTTCTCTGATTCCGACAACCTCACTGCAAAACAACCCACCGCACATTTCGTGTCAAACTCTTCAACTTGAACCCCCTCGGCTTCACAACACACTTTTCCCTCTACTGCACCTCACAATTCGCCCAACCATGCACGGCCATTTCCCAGGGCACCCAACGGTGCGCTACCCAAACGTAACCAGGGCTACCTTCGCCAGGACCGCCACCGACAGTACACATGGCATTGTGCACGCCTCCAGAACTTTGCATCGACAACCGAAACGCAAACACCTGGACTACCACCATTCACCATCTACCACAGCTACACACACGTCCTACCAACAAATGGAGTGGCGTGTCACTGCTTTACATTTCTCGAAAATTGCCGGAAACGACGTCGAGAAGTTGGCGTCCATCGCCCTCATCGACTCCAGATTGTCCAGGCTACCATCCACCAGTGGAGACGACGACAGTCCCGCTACATCACTCCTGTCATTCGCCACACTCCAAGAGTACGACGACACGCTGGGCGATCTCCCCTCCCCTGCTGCACCTATTCTCCATTGTTCTGCATTGCCCTGCTGCCCGCTTTGAGGACTGCCCCTTGCCCAGTCCCCTTGCCCACCCCGATTCATCTGATTGCTCAACGACCATTGCTGAGATCCTAACCCCCTGGGAGGGCCCATTCCTGGGGGCGGGTTGTTGGCGTACCCCCCCGACATCGTCCGCCTGCTTGGCTCCATACTCCGCTCTCAGATGCTACACTGTGGCCTGGCAACACACACCGTCCACTATCACACGTCACTCCCCTCACTTCGCTGCATTCACAAACTTTTGCGCTGAACCTCCTCATGTCACGCCCGCAGGCAGAGCCATCATGCTACCCTCAGTACAACATGACCAGCACTTTGAACGACTCGATTTTCGTGATAATGAAGAGGATGGGAACTCTTGAAACCCCAAACGTATGAATTCTTCTCATTTAAACACGAGCGCCAACTCGAATTCAAACTTTGACGAGTACAGGATCAGTCTGAACACATCCTACCATGAGGCAATGCAAAGTTCTTACAGCAAACACGCAGAAGAAGAGCTTCGCAGGCTGTGAGACAGCACTTATTTCAACCTATTGCCTATAATAATAACTTTCGTGTCTTAGAAGCTAACCGGATAACAGGCGACCGGGAGAACACGGAAATATTCTCTGATGGGAGTGTCAGGCGAGTATTTGAACCCTATTCTATCTCACTGCTAGTGATCGTTGGGATCCATTAATGTGGACAGGCGATAATACGATGGGGACGGACCACATCTTCTCCTTGAAAACAAACCTGGCGTGGACAAGGATCCTGTCTGCAATCTTTACTTTTCTTAAAGCCTCTCAGAATTTATCAACCAACCCATACCCTCAGAAGCGGAAACAAAACCCTCGCATGCGGCACATCAACGTCGATCAGAGTTGCACGAAGCAACAAAGTACACCGAAGAGGACAGTCAGCCAGGGCGAATATAAGCTACTCATCATATCCAGATCCACGTGAGCACGTGAACCGACCACCGACCACTACCACCACCCTGCAGCCCCCCGGGCGACCATTTCACGAATAGCTTCATCATCACAAATCCGACAAACTGCACACAGGCCCTGCCAACCTTTGATTTTATTCGTCTGCGCCACACCTGCAAACTTCCACCTCCCCCACATTCCTCTCCATCGGGAACTCCCATCCTCCACTATGACAGACAACCTTCGACCCTCCCCCCCCAGAAGACCACCTCTGGAGAACGGGGGAAAAAAAAAAAAAAAAAAAAAAAGGAAGCAGCGACGCGAACCTGGCGCAACTTCGTCGGTATCATGCTAATCCAAAGCTCCAGCAGCATCTATTCACAACGCTGCCGTTGGCGCCAGTGCTGTCCTCCGCCAACGCCCTACGCCCTCGCCTCCCAAGAAAAAAAGCTCTCCTCCAGTATCAACCACTCACAAACATTCCTCAGCGTTCGCCTCTCACTACTCACCAGCTGTGGCAGCAGAAGGAGCAACAACAACTTTCTCCCGTGTCAACGCCTTGACAACATGGTACCCAGAGCCATTCCAAGCCACCACTCAACCGTGCCGAACCAGGAGGATGGGTGGGTGTGTGGGGGTGGGAACGAGGTCGAATATAATGCAACGAAGTTTTTTCTTTTTTTTTTATTTTCTTTTTTTTAAGTTTCCCTCCTCAGCAAAATCCGAATGAAGGCCCTTGCGTCGTCCCACCCCACCTACAGTGGACCTTCTCCGAGACGGTGTCTGTGCGCCAGTAGAACACGGCGACGATAAAGCCCAACATACGCAATCAGCGACAGGGCGTCACGATCACCACGAGGTAATAATAATGAGCGCGGAGGATAACAATCGGGAGGATGGCTTGCACCGCAACAGCGCGATGAGTGATGTAAAGTTACTACTCCTCCCTTCCGATGAATATTTTTACGGTGGGTGCGAGCTGACGATGATTCATCCCCCAAATTCTAAACCGGGGGCGTGGTGCGTCCCACATTCGCCCGCTCGCCCCTGGACCCATTCCTGTGGGACCCATTCCCGTGGGGCACCGTTCACACTTCCTATAAAGGCTTTCTGGATGAATATCATTCATGTACTGCCCGTCACGATGCACAGCTCACGCGCAAGTACTCGCAGTCTCATCCATTCTGTATATTCCTTCATCCGTCGTGTTACATCCAGTTTTCATTCGTCCCGTTTCCAGAGCTTTTCATTCGTTCTCAGTGTACTGAGTCAGTGCTGAGTGGAGATTCCTTAGATCATGTTTATCCCAAATTTAGTATGGATTCTGGCCAAACTCAACCCCATTTTGGGATGGGGTTAATGTTTTATTCGCTATCTAATGAAACATCATTCATTTCATAATAACCCATTTCAAGGGTTTATGTGTTCTGGAGTTAAGGTGGCCAAATTTTAATCATGAGGATTGAGTGCATGATTTTCATTGAAGAAATTGTTTTAGCACCTAGAAAGTTACATTAGCGATGTTGGCTTTGTGGCGAATAAATTTTAATTCCTAATTTGAATGTTTTTAAAATTAGACTAGTGAGTTCAATCTTCTGCACTTGCTGTGCAATGTTGGTTATAATTTTCTTTGAATCAAATTTTTCTCTGGTTGATTAACAATTTGATATTTCTGTCATCATCATTGTCATCACAAATAAATATTTGACTTGTTTATTAAATAAAACATATGTTACAGTTTCATCATTTTCAAAAGATTGCTTTCAAGAAATATTTTAATTTGAGATTGTTTCTTATATTTTAGGTTTGAAATTGGGAATTGGACTGTACTTCACAATTAGGATGCAACATCCTTCATCTACATGGTCTTTGTTTTAACTTGGAATGAAACTTTCAGTATGTAATACATGTTGAATTGAGTATAACTTGTCCTTGACATTTTTATAACTTATTATATATATATATATATATATATATATAATGACAACGATGTCAAATTGAATATCTTTGTTATCTGATGTGAATATCAATCAATTTTTGTGAGCTTGATCATATTTAAAAAAACAAATATATATATATATATATATATATCATAAACAGTATTATTGACACTGTATCATTATGGTATCATTGACTGTATGTATATATATATATATATATATATATCTCATAAGCATATATCTCATACTCATATATATATCTCTTAAGCAGTCAATGATACTTTATGGATTTTACAGTATCATTGACTGCTTCACTTTGCATCAGAATATTGTGTATTTAGCGTTTTTTAAACATACTAGTTAATTGGTTAAACAATGGTGTTTTATCTTCTACACTCCATATTAATTTAAAAAGTGAAGTAATTTATTTTTTTAATTGTATTTATATTCATGTACATGCATACCCACATGACATCATTAATGCAAAATGTGTATCATGTCTTATAAAAAAGCTCTTTTGCATCATTTTTATTTGGTATAAGTGATCATCAAGTCAAACTTATCTGAGTATTCGAGTATTTGAGTATCCAAGTCAAAGAATTGTTTGTAAGTAGGAATTGAAACAATGGAAGGTCAATTATTTTAAGGTTTGTTTTGAATTGTGTGGCAAATGAAGCATATTTCTGAAGTCAAATTCAAATTTAAACTTGAAACATGAATGACATACATTTAATGACTCAGTACTTCTCAAATCTATTGTAATTCAAAAGAACTTTTCTATGATGTGGTAGGAGAATGTTTTCAACATGCATTTTATTAATTGTATACATTTTTTGAAAGTAGAGAATCTAATGCTTTCAATTATTACCACCAATTCATTTACTTTCTTTCAATACAAACTTTATTTTTATTTGAAGGTTAACTAAATAATAAATTTTAGAAAGAGAAAAAGAAGCTGTCGATTTATATAGTTTTATTTAATAGGTGTATCATTGATGAATTTAAGATTGACCAAATCAAATATGGATTTTTAATTTCTAGTTTCTAATTAGTATAAGTTGCATGGAATGCATATAAATTGTGTTACCATGTATGATCAATCTGGAAAGACAGCCTTAAATCCTAAACTTTGTCTGGATAATGCAAACCTGCAAGCTACTACCAAGGTTATTCAACATTTTGCTCTTTCACGGTATTATTTTGCTACCAAATCTCCTTTCATGTTAACTTTTTTACATTTGAAAATGCATTCATTTCTTTATTCCAATGAAAATTTGGCAAACTAGTACAATGCCACAATGAACAAAAGAAATACAAGACATTCAAACACCAGGAGATCAGTGGCTCAATTTGATTGTTTCTTTGCACATAATGAAATCAATTACATTCTGAAGTATCAAAAATATTTGATGTAACATAATTTCTAAATGCTTAGATTTGTTACTGTATGTTGATTAATGATCATTCATTTATGTTGAATGTTTCATTTATTTGTTATTAAAATAAATTTATTATTTTTACATGATATATATATGCAATTACATATATATATATATATATATTCTCACAACAACAGAATATTTGATTAGAATTAAAAAGAAAATGACAAGTGGATGGTGGTAAAAGTAAAAAAAAGAAAGAAAATAAGGCATAATAATAATAATAATAAAAGAACATCATAGTCCCAATCCACCTCAGCAATGAACCCATAAGAATAAAAATAAAAATAAAAATTGGACTTCCACGCGCTTCAGAAGGAGACCCTGAAACCGTCGAGGTCCATCGTGCAGCTGGGATGCGCTTCCCCTGCAATGTCCTCCGGAATCAATCAGCGACGTGAGCTTAGCGTCACACTCTGCATTTGATCGATTATGCACAGGAACAAACAATCAACAGATGCAGAAGCAAAGAATCGCAGCAGGGAGGAATTGCAGCAGCAGAAAATTCTCAACCGATATCTGTCCTATACGCAGTGAATGTTCACCGCCTTAAGCTTTTGTCACGCACTGCGCGAGTTTCGCGAGTTCATTTCAAGGATAGATGATGAAGATGTAGAGATATGTCGAGGTAGTGGGATTCTGGAGTTGGGTTTGAAGAGCCTTTTAGGTTTTTTAGGATTTTTGAAGAGAGGGTGGGGGGAAGAGTTGTGTCGATGAGGATGAGGACGTGAGAGCCTGACGTGGTGAAGCAGAAGGAATGGGGCAGTGGTGGCTGCTCGGGGTGTACCTCAGTCTCTGCCCCTTGCTTCTCACGGTGCTCTTGTGTGGAGATCGCCCCATTTTCAAAGGGACGTTTGTGGAACGGACGCATGATTTTCTCACCGGCGGTGCTTGTGATTGTTGCGTGTAAGGTGTTCATTCTTGAAGGGGGTATTAATGCATGAATGGAAGACGTGTTGTGAGTGTTGGATAATATGCTCTTATTGTGGCGATTGCACCTCTGGCCGGAGTTCAGTGCTCCAGAGCGAAATCGACTAGATGGTGTTCAAGGTTTAGGGTTTTTGATTCATTGCATTACGGATTTAATGTTTTGAGTGCGCCAAACTGCTTCGAAATTGATAGAATTTCCCGAAATCACTCTCTGTTTATGAAGTCAGAACGGTAGATATCCGGATGGTCCGTTATGGGAAATTGTCTGATGTGATTGAAGGTCGTGATTCCAAACATTTAGCTTCGAAACGGAGTATTGTCGTTTTCATTCAAGATGTTTTGCGCGTGCAGGAGATTGGTAGGTGTATGTTTTGGTCAAAGGGGTAAGAATGCTTGTGCTGCAGCGGAGACCTACTGCTGTGATAAACCAAATCCTGCTTTACAGGTGGGAAACGCTATGATTTGATTTGCCCCTTTGTTCCATTCTAGCAAAATTTTGTTCCGCCGACCTTACTGCCAGGGCATGTACAATTACAAGGTGGGTGAAGTAATAGCCTTGACAATTTGGTGATTGGAAATCTAGGTGAATCTATTTTTGCGGTGAAGGTAGCATTTAAATTTGTTTTAATTGCACTTATTTTGGTTTGGTGCAGTTATTTTATTTGAGCATTCTTGGCGGTTGCTATTTCACGCTAACGTGGACCTCACTGCAATATATTCCCGGTCTTTACATATCTTTTTACCACAGGTGTCCCCACACAGACTACAATTACATGATGATAGACTCAGCAATTCTAGATGTTGTTTCTTCGTTCTCATATTGGGAGGTATACATGTGATGTGATGTAATGTTTTGTGTGTTTGAATTTTCTGCTGTATGCTTCCCTATCGTCCCTTAAACAGTGATTCCTCTTATTGATACTTGCAGATATACAGGTCCAGTTGCTGCGTGTTTTGGTCTTTGCTTGTTCCTTCTTACGAGCTTTACAGATTCTGGGACAATTGATAAGTCCACAGTGCAGTCCCACCTGGGGGTGTACCCTTTCGATGGTGTTCTCTATGAGGAGAAAACCTGCTCTACCTGCAAAATCATTCGGTAAGTTTCAGGACGATGACGGAACATTCTCTTAAATTTCCCTGAAGCTTCACATCGCACGGTTCATGTGAGCATGCTACATCCTCCTATTCAAAACGATGTCTCGAATTGTACAGGCCTGCAAGATCGAAGCATTGTAGCATCTGCAACAAATGCGTGGCTCGTTTTGATCACCATTGTGCCTGGATGGTTAGTCGTTCAATCCATATGTGTTATTTTCTACTTCTTAGTACCCTAGGCAATAATCTCATAATCTTTCATCTGCGCAATTGTTCATTTTGCGTTCAAATTTTCATATTTCTTTTTACTGGCAACATATGCGTTATGTTGAATGGCAGCACTTGTTGATCCAAATGCTTCTGAGACATGAAATTGTGTGAGGTGCCAGAATAACTGCATTGGTGAAGGCAATCTGCGATATTTTTTGTCGTTTCTTGGCTGGTGAGTGTCTACGAGAATTTTTTATGGTCTTTGAAAGGCACTACATTGTGTTCTATGACCTCCGTTTAAGATTCATCCTAGTCATCCATATATCTATACGTATGAAACACATAATACGATACAGAGATCACATAGAACATAGGACATAAACACGTCTTAGATCTTCTCTGGCTCATTAAACTTTTATGACTTCCTTTTCCCTACGCAAGTTACTATTTAACACACAGCAAAATTTATGTATGGCCAGGCATGTTTTGCTATGTTGGTATGGGGCTTGGGTGCTCGTTATGATTCTAGCGGGTCATGTTGAAGAGCGAAATGTTATTCGAGCAATAAGATGTAAGCTTTGTTGTTTTCACTTGGGAGGTCTTACACATTCTATTATAGAAAATGTGCGGCTTAAGGTTGCTGTGATTTGGTGTTGTTTGAGCAGTTTTAGTTGGACAAAAGATTTGATGTAGCTGGTTTATTTTGTGTGAATGCAATTTCTGAAGCAATATTTGTTGATATCAGGGTACATTGGTCGGCCTGCAACATTCCATGACATATATCCGCATGTCTTTCAGGTCTGTTTTGCTCTTTTGCTCATCTTCAAAGCAGTGCAAGAAAGACATTCTCCCTGAATTATTTACATTACCTGTATTAAATGAAAAACCTATTTTTATTTCTATATCTTCGTGCTCCAACCTTTATATTTCCTGAGTGGTTTGTCAGGCAACAACTAGTGGACGACCCTGCGCAACAGTTCTATTGGTTTTGGTTGTGTAGGACATTGGCTGGATTTCAAGAACGTTCAAGTATTTTTTACATGAGGTTGTTGTGTGCGCTAAAATCAAACTGTAGCTTCTAATTTAGCTTGTGGTGGACTGGAACAGTGGTTGTTGGCTTATTATTCAACACAAGTAATGCTGGTGATATTTTTGCTGGTGATATCCTTGCTACTTATGGGATTTTTTGGTTATCATCTGTCCCTTGTGGCATACAACACAACCACAAACGAGGCATGTCCTTCTCCTTACTGATACCACTGAACTATCCAGTTTAAGATGACAGGTTCAAATATATCTGAGATTTTATTGTTACTTTTGGGATTTTTTTAGTTATTGTCTGTTTCTAATGGCACACAACACAACCATAAACGATTGATAGCTTGTGGAAATCATTGAGATTTTATTCAAAAGTCATTAATCTGTTTCTCAATCTTCGAAGTGATTGCCTGATGCAGACATACAAGTGGGATAGACTTAAACGGTATGCCGAAGTAGAAGCGACAAAGCAGGCTAGTGAAGCCAAAGATATCCCATCTGCGGAGCAAAGGCAGCAGTCACAGGGCAAATGTGGGTGGTTACGTTGTATGAGTTGTTGGGGTAGTGCACCCAAATTAGAAGAGAGGAATATATATGATAGAGGTATTTGGAAGAATGTTTTCGAGGTTCTTAATCCTCAAGGATTTAAACGTTCAGTCAGACGTGTAGTGAAGAAGAAGCAGTAGCTATTTTCTACTGTGCTGTATAAGGATTAACATCCATTTGTTTTCTTGAATTGTTCCTTGATACACGATTGTTTTGTAGGTGCGTTGATGCGAGGTTAAAACGTAGAGCCTAGTTTCTATCCACTGAAATCTTCACTTTGCAGAATTCGCTATCATATCTCAGTTACATCCCTTAGGTCGCCAATTATGGGACGTTTCAGATTTGCACTTTCTGTTCAAAACGAGCAATGTCTAAGTCTTGCCCGCCGGAAGCAATAGTAACCTTCCTAAGATTCAGAGAATGAAAAACCCACACTAAAAGCAGTCCCAACATCTTGGCACCTGGGGTTTCCTGGTTTGGTGCGATTCTTTGTCATTGATGTTAAAACAGCAACATAAATGGAGTTGATTAACATCTTCAGTAAAAACGCACGCACTCCTATTGCTTTCGAATGCTCAAATCTGCAGATCATGATCGATTATCATGATACGACTGGAGGATACTGTTTCTAGTCACGCAATACGCTCTGCTGTTGAAGTGACTTGCACATTTTGAGATCTAATGAAAAACTGCTAGCAGCATGAAGGTACGATCCCAAGGAACCAAACCACTAGCTGGATAACGGTACCAGCTACTGATCTCTCTTGTTGCCATGCAATTTTGGAACGTTAAACCCCACCTACCTTGCACTGCATAACTTGCCATGTCGGAGAAGGTCATTTCGACTCAGAAATGTGAGCCCGAAAAATATTCTACTTTTTAGCATGCAAGTGAAACTGAACCTCATTCACACAGCAACTAGTTTGGAAGGTTCCAGCTATCGCCTAACCCGTTCAAAACAAGCGACGCTCTCGCACTCTTTATCCATTCCCGCACTCACTTGCTGTTGTTGGCGCTCCCTCTTGGTAGAAATTGAGATTGGTACTACCCGAGGGCCCGCACAACCATTCACCATCCAACAATCTCAGTTTGCGAGGCTCAGCAGTTCAAGGACAACCCGCTTTGCTCCTACAGGTATCCTTCTGTTGCCTATCTTATCCTTGTCGCACTTGTGGTGAATGCTACGACGTTGTGGTTCATTGTAGCGTGGGGTGATCATTGAATGATGAAAGAGAGAATTTTCAATCACCCAATTGAGGTGGGCTCATTTCAGTGAGAGGAATTTCAGCACTGCGTGCATATTTTTAGTTGCTTAGTGTGTGGGTTCTGGGTTTTGGGATTCTGGGTGGGAGATGGGGATGTGCAATGCGAAGCTCGGCGTTGAGGGTGCTAATTAGGGGTTTGGGGTAATTTGGTTACGTTGGTATTTTAAGTGGATTGAATATTGCTGGCCAGTGGATGCTCATGAATACAATTTTGTGGCGCAATTATTGTGAGACGTTGAGGATGCTGTTTTAAGCTTTCGGGGTAGAGAGTTGATTTTAGTGTACATGTTTACAAACAGCAGATTTACATTTTTTTCCCATGCGGCGGTTGAGATTGCTCTGGGACTTTCTCTGTCTTTGTTGTTTGTTTCAAAGTTTGTTTCTGTGACGAAAAGAGTAGTATGATGTAGCTGAATTCACTCAATTGTGGAAGAATTAATTTTAGGTTTCTGTGAACGGGTTGCAACGCAGTATGCGAGTACTCGAAGACTGAATTCACCCGGAAATGTTATATTCGTGACCACTTCAAACTCGTCCAGTCTCTTGTTTGTAGCGGCGTATCGCACTGTACTTCATCCAATAAATTTTTCATTCTTGTATCGCTGGAGCAGATGACTTATGGTCAAACCGCTTGGCTACGCTCGTTGTGAGGAGCAGACTCTTTGAGCCTCTTCCTCTCATTTAATACATCGCCTTTCAAGATGGCCGCAACATACGAAAAGATTGTGCACCATTCATTGATGGGAAGAGCCTGCGGCTTTCCGTCTGTGAATACCACTTGCGAGGCAAGCAAGATGATGACTGTGCGAGGGTCGAAGGATTTGAGCTGTAAGAGGTTGGTCAACCTGAGGCACAACCTACAATCGTATGGATTCCCCGCACCCGCCTTGAGGAAATTCGGTTCAAGACAAGCCATGCCAAAGAGATTGGTGTGTCGAGCGGCGGATGCCACCTTTGGAGGCGCAGAGAATATGAAGCCACCCGTGTTTCCGCGGCGTAATGTCCGAGATCCATTCAAGCTCCTAGGATTGAGCTCCGACGCATCCGAGGAAGAAATCCGCGAAGCCAAGAATTATCTGACGGAGCAATACCACGGTCACGAGTACAGCCGGGAGGCTATTGAGGCAGCATACGAAAAAATTATCATGCACAGCTATCGCGTGCGCAAAGCTTCAAAAATCAACTTGAAGACCAACCTGAAGAAGAAGGTGGAAGAGTCGCCCCCATGGGTGCGGGCCATTCTCAACATGGTTGAAGTTCCGAACAAAACCATCATCGGACAGCGAGCTGCGCTTTTTTTCTTACTGGGTGTGTGGAGTGTGTTCAATCCTGCAGAAGGAGGCCCTGCTTTCCAAGTAGCTGTTTCTCTTGCTGCATGTGTCTATTTCATCAATCTCCGACTCAAGAGCCTCGGAAGAGCTTTTATGCTGGGCCTGAGTTCCTTGGTTGTGGGCTGGGTGTTTGGTTCCGTCTTGATCCCCGTCATTCCTTCGCAGCTCATTCCGAGGGCTTGGTCCTTGGAGCTTTCCACCGCTCTTGTCTCCTACGTCTTCTTGTGGTTTTCGTGCACATTTTTGAGATAAAGACGAGGTGCAGTTCTGCAGCGAGGAGACATTAGGGTGTTTCACAAGCAGAGTACTTGAGGCGTTTAATTGGAAAGCTCTTTCAATAAGAATTGCAGCGTGCGGGGAGCTCCAACCTTAGTTTAGAGATGAGCGACATTGTAGTTGGTACCATTGGCACCTTTTATTGCCTTGCGATTGTATCTTTTGGTTAGCTGTTTTAACAGGTAGCCTCCTCATCTGGTTTCATTTGTTTGGAGGGAGGACATTTTTGTACCTATTTCTCTTCCGATTTGTTTTGTGAGACGTTTTGGAGACAATAACAGAAACAGTGGTTTTATGTGTTCTCTCGATTGCACACGTTCACAGAATTGAGACAATCATAAATGGAATCTAGAGTTTCCCAAGTTGCAATATGTGTCGGTGGTTTCAAACATAATGTTATAATAAAATCTTCTTCCTTGTTGGGTCAGGATGTGAACTTATCCCTTCTTTCTTGTGTTGTCTGATGAAGAGCTGACTTAGTTAACCAGAATTCAAGCGTCTGCAACGCATTATTACTATCTGGATCTGGTAGTTGTAAACATCTTTATCCAGATTGGTGATCTTGGCTGCAACCACCGAGTATGCAAGAACCAGGAACTGTGAACGTAAATCAACCAAATACTGTGCAGTCTTTTGAGAGGCAGTTCCCAGCTACAAAGAGCGGGAGTGCCAAATGCCTGCTTGCCAAGGTCTTAAAGTAAACACACACCTAGTATGCATTCGTTGAACAAGTGGATGGATGCTTTCATCTAATACATTTACTTCGACATGCACGCCGGTCCAGCTATTCAGCAACAATCTTGCTTCAAATTACTCGCATTTCCCCGATCCTACTTCTTCAACGTTGTAGGTGAATTCGGAATTTGTCTGAGCTGGTGAATCTTGCAGTATCATTTATTGTTTTCTTTGAAGTGCTAAATCAGAATATATTGCGTTCTTTTATTGCAAAAATCAAATTTGGCTTTTGTGCTGTTGAGTTCGTGGCGTAGGTGTTGTATTCTTTTTAGAATCAAAGAAGGTTCTCATCATAGTAGGGGCCAATTTCTCGTCTCAACGGGGTCACTTAACCTATCATATTTTTGGAAATTTGATCAGAGACCCACAAGCACATACGTACCGCAATAGTACAGCAATCTGCCTGGAAGTGATTTGGAGAAGTTCTTGAGAAGTGGGTTTGAGGAAATCATTTATCTCGGAGCTGCCGATCATCTATTGACGTTGTCCAGACACACCGATCGCTCTCTAGCGATCTTGCTAGCTTCGAGAACCGAAGTGATGGCCGTTGCGCCTGCACCAGACGTCGAACCTTCATTAGAAGTGACACAGTTCTCGGACGAATCCAACGACTCCACTTTCCACTTTCAGATTCTGCGGTTGACTAATCAGGTGTGAGAGGTTTCTCATCTTGCACTTCCTCCTTATTCGTAGTGGTTCACTGACCTTGGTCTCAGTCCGTGACTGGGATCGCCTTAGTCCGAGTACCAAAGTTTGTGTTCACTCGTCTTAGGGTTTAAATTAGGGTTCTGTGTAGATTGCACCACTTCTATGTGACCTTGTATCTGAAAGTCTGCTTTGAAGTTGGATCACCATTATTAATATGGTTTAAGGATAACCCGAGTGTGCAGGCTGTCTTTAGGTTATGATTTCTGGCCATATTAATCACTTATTTGCTGTTGTTTCCTTGGAGTTCAACAGTTGTATGTTTGGATTGGGTGCAATTCCGCTCGTATGGGAAATTTATATGCAGCTCTCCCTACGAGATGGGTATCTTCCTCACCCCTGCAATTGATTATGGCTACTGTGTTTCCAGAGACAGTTACAATGGGATTTAATTGATGTTTGCATTTCATTAGTAGGTTTGAATTTCGGAACCTCAGATTGCTGAGATCGCACGAAAACCTTACGCATGGACAGTTACATGGTTTAAAATCCTGGCACTGGTTGGCAGGATAAAACTGCAAGTGTAGCAGCTCTAGTCGGAGGTGGGGCGGACAGTACTGGAGCTAGTATGGCTCGCCGACTCTGTATGTATCTCATATCATTCTGTAAACCTTCACTGTCCTGGAATTTGTGTGTGTCTATGAGTGTTGGTATCATTTCTATGACTATCGTTCTTTGTTTTTTTGTTTTCTTTCTTGACAAGAGTAGTCTGGAACTTGCAGCAATGAGGACTGGTTGGAGCATAGTATTGGCTTCCAATATTCCGTCCAACGCCCCAGTGCTTGAGGTATTTACATCCTTTTAAACTTTACCTCCTATTTTCTTCGAGTAGGTTTATTTTCCTTCTCCAGCATTATCTTGTTGAATGAAATCCTGGGCCTTAGTTGTTCATCAGAAAAGCTAATTCATTTGGGAATGTGTCAATAGTGGATTTTACACACTGTTGAGCGTGATTCAACAAACTCGTTTACTATAAAACTTAATAGCTGTAGTAGAATCATCTGTTTAACGAGTTTGTTGAAATATCTAATCATCTGATGTGAATCCCACAATTTACATTCTTTTTCGCATTCTGACGTTTTATAAGGTTTCTTTTTCTATGAATGTTCTGACGCAGTAGTTTATGTGTTGACAGGCATTTGCAGAGCAAAGATTATTTCAAGAACTCAGATCGATGGGCTACATCAAGCCAGCCTCTAAACCTTTAAATGGTCCTGCTGCGCCATTGGCACCAATTTAGATGTTTCGCAAGTCGGAGACGTCTTCAAAATTAATACTTTCAGGACAAAACATACTTTAGCTCAGATTATTCTCTTTGACGATGATCAGATCGATCGTGACATTGCAAGTAAAGTGGAGCTTAACTCGTTAACTAAATCATGTGTGCTTCAAGAGTCTCTCATCTACTGCACACATCGTATTCTTAGAGATTTTTGTCGTTGCACCGTGCTAGCAGAAAGTAAGCAAAGTTGAGGGCTGTGCACAAGTCTTTCTCTAAGACGTAGATGGTCCAGAATGTATGCAATCTTTCCTGAAATAACTTGGCAAGTTGCTAAGCTGGCCACAAGTGTCAACTACTGACAGACTAATGAACCTAAGCGGAATCAGGAGCTCACCGTCGAAAGTAGACAGGAGATTTTCTCACCAATTAGTTCATGTACTACCCCCAATTACGACCTAGAGTCCTCGGAAAGAATGAGGATTTATGCTCGTTGAAAAGACCCATTTCGAAGCATCATCTGTTGTAGTACTGACATGATGCCACACACAGTCGGTCAACAGGATCATGGTACGGACATCCCACGGTAAATGCATATTTTGTCTACGCAATAGAGAGGGTTGAAAGCTTCACTTCCTGTATTCGACCTTGAAATTGTACGTCCAAACAAGCTCATGCAACCGACCGCAGTAAGTGATCCACACCCAAATCACTCAAGCATGTACGACTTGAATGGGAATCTAGTCAGAAATGCCAGGGTCCTACAGGAGTTCATTGTAACAATAAGATTTTGAAACTTGACACAAATCAGTTCGTTGCTTACTTGTGACAGACAACCATACGACTAAGCCGAAAGCATCTCTGTCAGCTTCGGTGCAGACACTGGCAGTCGGGGATCGTCGGTGTGATGGTGTACTCTGTCGGCTGAACTGTTCACACCAGCTCCAGTGCCTAATAAACCTCGAACAGATTGTGTGGCATGTGAATCAGTGCTTAGTTAACGAGGTAGAAATACCTTGCAATGAATTAAGAAATTCATAAAATAGACATCGGATTCCAGAATTGCAAGCCAAATAGTGAGATGCTTTTCTTGAAGGTTTCACAGCAACTAAGATCACTGGGACGTAGCCTTAAGATATGCAGGAGCGCTGTTTATTGTTTTCAACATCCAAATATTATAAACCTCCGAAAGTATCCAGTGACTAATTATCTGTACCAAACTATAATATGCTAGAGAAAGCTCCCGTTGAAAGCATCAAAGGTACTCCTTTACAACTAAAGATATCTTGTATAAACCCGACACACATCATGCCATGTTAGGAACACTGGTTTCAACAGGGGTATCAGAGCGAGAACCCCATTCCGTCCATGAACCGTCATAAACTGCAACGTCTTGCTTGCCAAGCCGGTGCAGAGCCTACACAAAGAAACAGGAATTAAAAAAGTCACCAACAGTAGAATTCACCGGTAAGTGCAAAACCAAAAGTATTGCATGTTTAAAGCCTCTTTGATGTATACTAATAAACCCAGTATGTGACGCGAGGACATTGCATTGAACAAACATAAGAGGGTCTCAATGTCATGCCATCAAACAATCAAAATATGCACATTTCTAAAAATGAAAAACTTCAGAACCTCTTAAATTGACTCACCAGAGCTAAAATACAAGCTGTCACACCAGTGCCGCAGGATGCCACAATTGGCCCATCAGTAGGTACACCTAAATAAAGTTCGCAAAATCATTAAATCAGGAAGGATCTAACAAGCAATATGCATGGGTATCTTGAAGAACATCTGTGCTGCTAGCTTAGCATCTTAAGATCCTTGACAATTATTGTAGAAAATGTCTTAAGTGAATCCTTTGCCCTGACCACCACATGAACGAGCGTATGCTAATAACTGTGTTTGGCAGACCTTGTTACGACCGGCTAGGGAGAAAAAGCTACACGCTCACCCACGGATAAAAATGGCCCAGAGACTTTGCAAGACCCATAGAACTCTCTTTATCATAGTAGAGAAAACGACATAAATTTGATATCTTAGACATCAAATTAACCTACGAAGAAAAATAGGAGGCAGATTTTTATCATCCGCCTTTACCCATTCGTGGATGAGAGTGAGGATCAATTCGTTGGAACTGCTCGGTCCAAGGATTTAAGAAAAGTGGATGAGTTCGTTAACCTTTTAAGCATGAAAACAGTTGGCAACATAACGTGCGCTAATAGTTCTAAAGACGATCCAAATCTGCCAAAGACATGTCTCAAAGAAACGACGTTTTAGAGAATGGAACGCTTACCAGCATTTTCGAATTTAGAGCCGAGCTCCTCGGCAGGCAGAAGTGTTCCAGTCGGGCTCAGAACCTGCAAAACGTATACAGAGAGTTTACTGTCTCCGTTGATACTACGGTGAGCAAATTATGGACATACCTTCTCAAACGGCAACGAATCTCTTCATTAATAAGCAAATGCTAAAATCTCGAAGATATTGAATAAACCAGGTAATCTCTGTTAATACCTCAGTGAATGGTACACACTTGCTGCCAGGAATATGCCCACCACGAACACCCTTGCGGGGCTCTGGTGCAGTACCGTTAAATCTGCAAAAAGGGTCTGTTAGAAATGACTTTCTATTAGATGAAGTGGGAAAACTGGCAAGTTGTATGAATGAGTTTATACCTAGCCTTGCCGCGTGCATCGATAACTTGGAACTTCTTCTCTTCAAGGTTATCTTTCATCTGAATGGCACAAACATCAAACTTGTTTGTGAGCTACATTCGTACACATTGAAGGTCACTGCATACTGGGGTTTTCTGTACCAATAAACTCTATAAGACCTGGAAATAATTTAAGGATGGAATAAAAAAAAATTAGCATTCAGCACTAAAATTTAGTTGCACAGAAGAAACAGAGCACCGACACAATAGATAATTACAGGTGTAAATATCAACCTGTTCCACAGACCACACCAAGTGAGGTTGTAGTGTTGCCTTGTATTGACTTTTGGGCACCTGTTATCAAACAATGGCACAGATTTAAATGAAAGCACAGCCAAAGATGCGTTCTCATTGCCAAAATATGAATTCTTGTGCATGCATCTAGCGCTGTTGCAAAAATCCCAGACGTGAAAAATCCAGAAACTACGAATAAGTTTAATGAAGTAGACATCTACGACCAAAGTGAAAGTTGGAAATGCATCCAAATCAAATACCGTCTAAGGCCGAAGATCAATGACAACCAGTAGGTGAATAACACGATGCAATAGCACACCTTAGACTATTAGGGCATAGAAGAGAAACTGCGGACTGGATGCGAATCTGCTCCAGGAGAAGCAATTTGTGAGGAACGATGTGCTACAATACCTCTTTTCCAGCATAGACTTTTTGCACAACTGCTACAGCAGCCTCTCCGTGCAGTAGCTGAGGTCCCTCTGAGGTGACAGTAAAGCCACTGGCCTTCCAGTTTGGCAAACCTCCATCCAAGATCCACACTTTCTCATGGCCGAATGCTCTGAACATCCTGCATGATTTCAGAGTGATGTGCTTGTGAACAACTTTACAGATAATCCCAATGATCAGGTTGAGTGAAATCTATACTATACCAGAGCTTAAAAGGATTTTATTGTACGGACCTGCTTCTACGGGATTTCATTCAGACATTTGCTTCCGACGGATCAAGAGCAAAGCCTTAAAAATTGTAAGAGATTATTTAACAGGCGATAATGTTTGAACACTCCATACAAATACTCCATGTTCTACCCTAGAAGAGAAACAAGACGATACCACCAAACTCTAGCTGCGCTGAAGATGCCTTTGGAGTCATATACAACAACCCCATCGTCATTTTTGATGCCTAAAGTAGAAGCCGCTTGCTCGAATGCAGCTTCGGATGGCAGCATATGAGGCATCTGCAAGGTCCCAAAGATCAAGTTATCATCCCAGAGCATATAATCACACTAAAAAGGCGGAAAGGCCCACAAGATTGATGCATCATACTCTAGACAAGATCCTGCTGTCCCTGCATAACAGCCTCCGAACAAAATTATATATAAGTAACATAGACTACCGTACAAACAGGTTGAGAAACGCAACATGGCACTTACGTCTGATGTTACATCGGAAATCTTGTCGAGGTCAAAGAAAACTGCTCCAGGAATGTGCTCTTCCTGTAAGAAGAATTTTCTTAGCAGAATTGGACATGCAGAAACAGATGCACCGTCGATCACACATTCCAAGAAAGGTATTTTCTCTTGATCTTCATGTGCATACCACAAATAATCAGCCCCAATTACAAGCCTAGTGGATTTTGACTTGGCAATTAGATAGATCTACTCGAGAGGATTAAATTGTAATGAATCATTTAAAGTGAATTGTACCTTGTAGTCTTCAAGTGTGTTGCGGTTTTCATTGGGCATATACCAAGATGCATCCACCACCTTGACACAGGAAGTGAAAGGCACCAAAGAACACGCTTATTAAAGTCTTCAATCAGATAGAACACATTTACTGCCTCAAATCCAAAAATCTCGGACCCAAAAAGTTAACATTCACACTTGCAAGATACAAGTAAAAATACAAAGATTTCAAAATAAAAATTTCAAAGAAAATATATTCCAATGTGAACACAAAATTGGGCACGAAGACGCTACAATGCTCCAGCATTTGCGGCAAATCTCTAATGACGTAACTAAGCCCTAAACCCTCAACATACAGTTACTCAGTAATCACCACGACTCGGCATAATTGGCTCAGTTTCACTATCGATGACATGCATTCAATGTAAATGGCATACATGCTGAAACTAAAAGATGCTCATTGCTCTAACGAAGCCTGGTGTTCTCCTCATTCTCGAAGGATCTCACGTGAATTGTGCTTGCAAGAGAAGTAGACTAAAAAACCATCCTGATCTCAATTTCACCTACTTGCATTCCTTGGCATTGCGAGATTATCTATACATGCATAAATTGATTCAGGAAACATTACACGCGCAACAGTATTTTTCCCTGAGAAAAAGCAGAATAGGAAAGAGGAGAAACCTTGATATTGGCACCAGCTTGAAGCTGATCATGAAGCCACTTTGGAGTTACCACGGTTGCAGGTTCATCTGTGACCTTCGCACCAAACTCCGACGCAGCGGCCGCTGATGACCTCACTCGACCCAAGGACGCGACGAACGTAGAGGGCTCGCGACCGGAATTGCGCATTGGCGACTTCGGTCCACCAATCAACGCTACAGTTGTCGCCATGCCTGCTGCCGCCACTGACAACCTTCGCATGCTTCCAGAAATGACATCCCCTGCCTACAAAGACGAAAAGTGATTTCAAAAAAACAACCACAGCATCGCTCAACAATTGCCAGCGCTTCCCGTAAATCTCATAATTCGACACGACATGGCGATGTTCACAACCCAGACATGGCAACGAGCAGGAGATTCGGGAACCTACGGCTCCATTGCTGACACTTCTCAGCACGAAATGCGATGAAGATCTCAATCCTTTCCGAGCATGCACAACTCTGCAGCTGATCGCTCCCAGCGGCACTGCTGGACCCTGGGATTGCAGAGTAGCGAACGAAGACGCTGCCATAACTGGAATCTTCGGCAAATACTTCCCTAACTTGCTCAAGCGCCCTTGCATTGCCTGAGATCACAAGTCACAGGTAATTAACAGGCAACAGCTGCATGAAAGCTTGCGAGAGCCAATGCTCGGCGTATCTAACCAAAATGGATTTCAGTAGCCAACCAAAGCTGACGAGGTAACGCTGGGTGCTCGCAGGAGATTTGAAGGAAGGCTTCGAGGCTCCCTCTACATCCCTTCCTCGTGCATTCCTTGTGAGAAAGACGATCCATCCAGGATTAGAAGACCTCGCAGGGTCCCGATTGACATCCTCTATGAAATCCCGACGTTTCGGCACTTGCTTGGCGTCCTGAATTGTTGAATTAGGGTCTTACAAGTATGTAGATAATTTGCGTATACTAAACTTGAATATTTTTCATTAACTTGAGAAGTTATGGTGGTTGCTAGTGACTTCAGACTTTTAATGAAGAGGTTTAAAGTTTGAATTATTTGAAATCACGACATCTTAGGTTTATTCGTATTCTGATCAGATTTTGCCAATTGTGTCATTGTGTTGAAAATTGGTTGGGAGTACCAGAATGTCCAAACTCCTTCCCACACTAAATTTTGTTGAGAAATAAGATAATTTTTTTTTACGTGAATAGAAACTTCAATATCCAACGAAAATCAAGAGCAACAAAGGACTCACAAAGTGGCTCACATAAATCACACATATTCACAGCTAACGACAGATTTCCCTCTCTCAATGCAAGGTGCTACAATACTACAGGATCCCCATGCTCTGCGTGTATGAGAATGTATTAGACTAAGAGAATAGTTAACCATGGCCACTAACGAGTAATAGAAAACGCTGAGAGATTCAAAATTCGATATAGAAGCTGAAGTACCACGTAATTGGGCACCGGGCAGTAAAAGCATTCTGCAAGATACTTCAGAGAGCAAGAGTGAGGGAAGCTTCTTGAGCCAGTCATTAAAAATTTAAGAAACATAGGTTTCCACAAGAAAGTCCTAAGCACACCCCTCAGCCACTCGGTCGAAGTGACAAAATGAAGTCAGTACCACTCCCATAACCGGAATTTCTTAATGCTACAAGCACAATAATAATAATCATTACCGTCCAAAGTCGCACAAGAGCCTAGCAGGTACTCAGGTAGCAAAGCCAATGAAACCATAAGAAATGAATTTCATAAGATCTCATAAAATTACTAGCAAACCAGTGAGAATTGCATTAGAATTTAATTTACAACACTCAAAGCTAAGTGAGCTATGGGAAATGTTTGGAATGGCAAACGAAAACCACTAGAAAAGTACAAAAAACCAAAAATCTACTTCTTTGACAGTTTCCTGGAAGGCCTCTTTGCTGATGGTGCAGACTTGCTGACGCCTTCTGGAGGCTTTACAAGTCGCAATTGAGCTCCTTCTTTGGCTGCCGCGGTGGCTGCCTTGGTTTCGTTGGCAGCATTGATAAACTTTGTCACCTCCTGCAAGTTTGACACTCAGTAAGAAAAGCCTTCTCTAAAATTAAATTGATGCATTAATAACGTCACAGAAAACATGGTAGTTTTCAAGTTAGAGCCTACACTTCTGAATCTTAACTGTCACAGGCAACTTAAATTTTTAATTATGCAGAAAAAGAGAAAGCCGCAACTGTGAATAAGGAGGAAGAGCTCACCTCTTGTCCATCAAGATTCTTCTCCTTCTTTGCAGATGGCTTGAACTGCCTACCTGCCACACTCCAGAGAAGTGACAAAGTAACATCAATACAAATATCTTCCATCAACACATTACACTCTGTAACCTCTCAGTATGCAACATGCCCTCAGTCACGGGTCTCTCGACGCATTCGAGAGTATAAATACACCGTGAGACATTCATAGGAACAAAGGTTTGTGATCCACTGTAATCAGACAATGAGCAGAGTTGTGAACAAAATCTTTAAAAGTCATCCTTATCAATGCCAAACTCCCGGCGTACAAAATTCATGGAATAATCAAGATGCGAACAAATCCTCGGTAAAAATAAATGGACAATGACCCGCGAAGCCAACCCTAAAGTATAAGTTCTAGCGATTACAGTTAACAGCAAGACTCTTGAAACGGCCCTCAAAATTAAGGTTTTTTTTCATACCTTTGCGTATGTGAATTTCTTTCCCGTGGCGATTGGGCGCAGCTGTCTTCTTCTTCTGCCCTTTGAAGAGTCCACCCTTCTGCGTCATAATTGCCCGCCTTCGCCTACCTTGAACTAAATTCAACCCAAAATGGCGCCGACCTTACCTCCCCTATCCAAGAAACCCAAATCAAAGAAGCTAAAAAGATTCAAGCCCGCACTCCACGGTTCGATCCCGGAACAACCTTCTGGAGATTCGAGACTGGAAAACAGCTGATGAGAAAAGGAGCTAAACAGATGTGCAAAGCGTGAGGATGACTGAGGTTTAGGGTTTTGAGTTACGGCTGAAAGGCACCGACTGAACTGAATATTGCTGGGATTCACGGCCGGGTATCAATCCCATCTGAGGCATATGACGAGTCCGAGATTGATACTTCGTATGAGGTCTGGTGATATTGATATCTGCGATTCTCTTTAGCACACCATTGTCGTTGATTATTACAGAAGGTGGAGTAATAATCCGCCTCCAATCATACACACAAATAAATCAGTAGAAGTGAATACAGAAGTTGGTTTTTCCAAACTGCAATTAACTTAAAAATTATCGTATATTGAATAAGTGGGCAAGAAACCCAGAATTTCTGTGAATCTGTGAATTTTTAATGGATGGATTAATTCGTAGAGTGTGTGCAACGAGATGTTGAAGTCCATATCATGTATGTCAAATATGTATTTAGTAATTTAGATTTATTAGGAAAAATATTTGTGGATTCTATTATCTTGACTTCTGTTAACGCTACTGTCAAAATTTAGCAAACTTCACCAATCACCAATTTAAAGTACCTTTTGCATATACAAATTTAAAACCTAATCAAAACCTTGATTATATTAATCAACACATTGCGTAGTTTCCAGTTTTCAAGACCAGCTGTCCCAAGTCTGAACATATTACCACACACATTATAGGTTTAGAGATGGAAATTAGATATGTATTTATACATATAAAAATATGCACCAGAAACTTGTGTTGTTGGGCACAAAAAAACTGTTTACAGAAAATAAACTGGAGGTCTCTCTACAGCTTTTGCAGGGATTTCGGCTGCTTTATGATAAATTTGATTTTGGCCAACAAGAAGACTTCTTTGTCTCTTTGTTTTATACCGAAGCTCCTTTCTCATCTATATATATATATATATATATATATATTTATGCATTCATATGCCATCATTTGTGACATGAAAAATAAAGAGGAGCCATCTTTGTTCTGTACCTAAGCTCCTTTAATATATAAATATATACATTTGCTATCATTTATGACATGAAAAAGGAGGAGGAGCAATCGGGGCGAACATGATAAAACAGAATTTCACGGTAATTAGGGCTAGAATTCCACCGCCAAGAGCGCAGCGCATCGCATCGTTGGTGCGACGGGGCCACGCATCCGCGGCGAGGTGGGGAATGCGAGCGACATAGCCACTCACTCACTCAGTCAGAGAGAGAGAGAGAGAGAGAGAGAGAGAGAAAGAGAAATCCACGGGACAGGCAGGATCAAGCAGATGCTCTGTTGCTGAAGAGGACGAAGAAGAGGAGGATGATTAGCAGGACGGGGAGGAATCAGCAGCTGCACAAGATATGGAGGAATTTCGGAACAATCCCAGCCCAGTGCTCATCCCCTAGCCCAGCCCCGCATCTCGAATCTTCTCGCCACGCCCCCCGACCCCCTCCTCTTGCTGTCCATCTTGTCTCGCCCATCGTCATCTCCTCGCACTTGGCTACTTCTACTTTCTGCTCCTCAAGGTTAGTCCTTATCAGCAGTCGCACGCATTCCAATTGCTCTTGCTAGTGTTGCAGGCCTGCAGTTGTTGGTTCGCCTCAGTCTCAGGTGCGTTTTGTGCTGTGGGTCCTTTTCCGTTTTGGGTATTTTGCAGAGGCTGCGATCATGTGAGCTTTCCGTGTTGTTTTTTTTGTTTGAATGAGGTTGCTGTGGAAGTGGGTTTGTGGTGATTTTGTATGGCTTTTGGTTTAGAATGAGAATGGTTAGTTGCGAAGGTTTGGATGGGATGCTTAAACCCTGAACCCTAGGTGAGTTTTGGAATCATTGAGTTTTTGGGGTGTTTGAGATTTTGGTTTTGAAGCCTGAGAGGGTTGAGGTTCAATTTGGTTTCTTGGGCCGCGAGAAGAGAGGGTTGCGTGCCGGAATTTCGTTTGTCGTCGTGTGTGAATGTAGATGTGTGGTGGCGATTGTGCAGGTCGTCGTGATGAATGCGACGTTGAGTTCTGCCGTGGGCAGTGTGGGTGTGGCGCCAAGGCAATTGGTTGCCTTGAAGTCGGAATGCAAGAGTAGCGTGCACGCTGCGCGCGCAGTTCCCAGTACCAAACGGTCGTTGGCGTCTCCTTCCATTAGTGCCTCTTTCTCGCCTGCGCCCGCCAGAGTGGAAGGCACACCGCACATGCGGAATGCTGTTGCCAACCATGACCTCCACACTCCCGTGGTAAAGCTGTCTGCATACAGTCTCGAGCATTCGGTGCCTGATTTTGATTCCCTTCTTGGACGACTTTCTATTTTGGATTGTAATCGCAGTGTTTTGGATACTAAGCCTCCTTGTTCGTCCTCGTCAGGTTGCTGACATCGACTTAGGGTATCTGGAAGTCGACAGAGATCTTGAATTGACAGAGCTGACGGCAATTTCACCCTTGGATGGCCGTTACGGGAGCAAACTGAAGCCGCTGCGGGCAATCTTCAGTGAATTTGGGCTCATTAGATACCGAGTTCTTGTCGAGGTATCCTTTTCATTATCATCTAATCGCTGTAGGCCATGGAGACAGGATGTTAGCTTTAATGGATTGGCACCTTTCACGAATAAATCGTCCTTTTTCTTTGGTTAGCTAATGATTAGGAATGTTAGCTGGAATTGGAGTTTCTATTGTCGTGATAGTTTGGTTTTTCGGGATAAGTCCAATTCTACGTAGAAAATTCAGAGGATACGGTTACCGAATCATTATCCGTCGATAACTTTGTCGTTAACAATTGCCTTTGCGATGCGCTTTCAGGTTCGTTGGTTGCAGATGCTGTCCAACAACTCTGGAATTGAGGAAGTACCTAGATTTAGTGATAAAGCGAACAGCCTTCTTGAAGACACTCTCGCAAACTTTAGAGTAGCGGATGCTCTTTTGGTGAAAAAGGTTGAGCGCACAACGAACCATGATGTGAAGGCCATCGAGTATGTGCTTAAAGACAAGATCCGTTCTGACGCTGAGCTTTCGAAAGTTCGTTCCCTTGCTCCTTTTTGTGAAGTTTGGCTTATGGGGGAACTTGTTGAATTTTAGGTTCGGTTTTCTTTAGGATGCGCTTTTCTTCCACATTTGGGTATAATACTTGCAATAAAAGGCTTATGCTGATTCGGTACTTTTGATGCCCCTACTGCAACTTTGATTGGTAAGGTACTTATTGTCCTGGTAGGGTCTCAGTTGAGTTTTGTTGACGTGTGGATCAAACCTTTTTTTTTTTTTTTTTTTTTTTTTTGACTATTTCAGGTTCTGGAGTTTGTACACTTCGCATGCACATCAGAGGACATCAATAACCTTTCTCATGCTTTGATGCTAAGATCAGCTATGGACTCGGTGGTGTTGCCTACTATGAAATCAACGGTAGAAGCTATTCGGTCCCTTGCACACGAATTTGCGGATATTCCCATGTTATCTCGTACTCATGGCCAGGTATTTATTTTCAACTTCTATTAGTATTTTTCTTATAAAGTTGTTATTTTTTTACTGGCTCTAGGACTTTTATTCAGATATATAGTCGGATGTTTGTAAAAATGCCCTTGGAGTAAGACTGACATCAATTTATTGAAAATCAATCTCAAATTGCCATTGAATTTGACATTAGTGGTTTCTGATCTTTTGCAGCCTGCATCACCAACCACACTAGGAAAGGAGATGGCCAACTTCTGTTACAGATTAGAAAGACAAATAGATCAAGTAGCCGCAGTGCCTTATTTTGGCAAAATTGCTGGTGCAGTGGGTAATTACAATGCTCACATGGTTGCCTATCCCAACGTTGACTGGGAGGATGTAGCAAAAAGCTTTGTCACATCCTTGGGTTTAACCTTCAATCCATACACAACCCAGGTTTGATTATGCTGACTCCTCCTTGACAGGTTCATGTCATGTCTTACGATAATATTTTGCAGTACTTTTTTGCAGCACTACCAAACTCCACACTTTCTGTTATAAATCATAGTGTATGATTAGATAATTCCTGACAAGTAACGGAGGAAGAGGATTGTATCGCTTTATCCTGAATTGTACAAGGGCTGCGCTCTGAGGATTTTGATAGTCGGCATGGAAGTTAATACACTTGGTGAGGACCTTTTCAATTTACATACACATTTCTCTGATTTTTGGGTTCTTGTCTCTTATTATGCAGATCGAGCCTCATGACTACATTGCCGAGCTTTATGATGCTGTGATTCGCTTTAACAACATTTTGCTTGGCTTTGACCGCGATGTGTGGTCCTATATCTCATTAGGCTATTTCAAGCAGGTGACTATTTGGATTTCCAAAGCGAACCCCTGCAAGCCCTGATTATACAACGATAGACTACTAATGAAATTAAAGAAATCACATAACCCGAATGTCTGTTTTTCATCTCTATGCTCCCGCAGCGTCGGTATTTATGTAGCCGTGTGGTGTTGTCATTGTCATTTTCCAGAGAGTAATTGCAGGTGAAGTCGGGTCCTCCACTATGCCCCACAAAGTAAACCCTATCGACTTTGAGAACAGTGAAGGAAATTTAGGCTTGGCCAACGCCGCCATGGCTCATCTGAGTTCAAAGCTTCCAATTTCCCGTTGGCAGGTATTTATGAATTTTTCATGCGAAATATTTCCTGAGTAAAACTAGCACTGCAATCACTTTCCAGTGATGTACATCGTTTCTGAGCAAGTCTCTTGAAACTAGCATTATTTCATTTTCGATCGAATGGGCTTTGAATCGTGTTACGATTTAAATTTCTTTAATTGACCATGTTCCATTTATTAAACTTGATTCTGATGTATTGCATATTTTCGTGCATAACACTTGTCTTAGATTATGATCTCTTATTTCTGGTCGTAGATCACTGGGCCTATCCTAAACTTGTCAATTTAACTTGCAGAGAGATTTGACCGACTCAACTGTGCTCCGCAATCTTGGTGTTGGACTTGGCCATTCAGTGCTTGCCTATGAGAGCACGCTGAAGGGAATCAGAAAACTGCAGGTATTCAGTCTTCTCTTTTAGTTTGCTGGATTGAAACGTAGATTGTGTTGTATTTGAGGTGGTTTCTTAATATCTATAAACTCAAATTAGATGCCACTCTCTGCTTTGTTCAAGTTCCTTGAACGTTATTTGTCTTGCATGGTACTTCCTAACCACTAGTTTTAATATATTATCAATCGCTGTCTCAGTAGTGTGTTCACGGACCTCGTGTCTCTATTTGCAGGTAAATGAGGCACGAATTCAAGAAGATTTGGCTGAATGCTGGGAGGTTTTGGCTGAGCCTATCCAAACTGTAAGTCTTCTACTCTTGAAGAAGTCTGTTTTTTACAAGGTGAAAATTTTAAGAATGTGAAGATTCTAACACTGGGGATATTAGTCTTGTCTAGTCATGATGAAGTCAAATAACAAATCCTGGATGATCATGAATGATCGAAGCTGTCTCTTGTGGTTAGGAGTCTAGACCCTCTAGATTTCTATTTGGTCACATGTTCAACACATGTCAACTCTGAAATGATTAATAGCTCGAAACTGGTGACCTTATGTTTGATATTGCGTTACTTGTACACGCATTATTCAGCTACCATGGATCACTCAGTTATCTTTCTTTTACGTTTTTTTATCTTGTTTTTGCCGCTGGTTTCTAATGGAGACAGTCTTTCATGAAACCAGGTCATGCGTAGGTATGCTGTTGAAGAGCCTTATGAAAAGTTGAAGGCTGTGACGCGGGACCGAAAGGTCTCCAAGGAGGTACTGCATCAATTGATTGAGGGGTTAGAGATTCCGCATGAGGCTAAGAAATCATTGTTGGAGTTGACTCCAGAGACCTACATAGGTGCTGCCAAAACCTTGGCAAGAAATATCTGAAATTCTTCTGCAAACCTGTAGACTTTCATCTTTAGATTTGTCAGCCGTAGTCACCATAGTTTACCTTGATCAGTGTGCAAAACTTTGTATGCCCAAGGCATACCCTGGACCTGCTTAGGATCAGGTCGCAGGTTATCTTGTTTTTGCATTTGAGAGTTCGATGAAGGAAGACGATTGTGGAATGTGACTGATGGTGAGCCACAATTTCAAGGATAGGCCAACTACAAGGGGTACTTAAACGTGATGCTTGGCGACACAAAGATATGCAATGCTATTAGCTCAAAAACTGGAGTGTCACTTAGCATAAATACTTGAAATGGCAGCATTCTTCTGAGTCTCAGATTAAAATAGAGGCAACGTTGCGTTTCTAATGTTGCCAGAGTTCCTGATTGCGAGGTTAATTATTTTCAGCAAAGTCCTTCTTTGTCGAATGTAAGGTCCGGTTGGCCAATAAAGAGAAGTCTGGACAGCTATTTGTTTGTAGCTGTATAATTTGAGGCAGTTCTGAGATAATTTGTGCTTTGTGCTTTGATATTCCACTCCATTTCTCTGGGATTGTTTTTTTTTTCACTGTTCTTGTAGATTACCAATACCAACACCAGACATTGAGAATTTTCTGACTAAAAATCTTCTGACTTTGTGATTGGATTAATAACAAATATTACTTGATTTCATTTCTTGCCAGATGATAAAGCCACACAAAACTAAAAATGTTTGAATTTGTTGTCCAAACTAGAATTTAGAACTCCCCTTGAGCTAAATAAATTATAAGGAACTATCTTTTGAAATTGATTTAGAAGTTTGTTTTTAGCTTGATTCAAGTGTAATGTTTTGGTTATTAATAAGAATTAAAGAATCTAGACTACTTAAAAATTTTAGGTCAAATTTTAGATCAAGTTTTAAATTTTATAGTTGAAATGTAGTAGTTTTAGCCAACTTTGCCATAAATCTTCTAGGATTATGTATTATGTTTTTGAAACATCAAAAAAATAATTGTATGCACAACTTTAAAATTTGGGATTATTTTAAGGTAGTAACAAAATATCTTATGTGCATTTTAAGATAGGAGAGATTTTAATTCTTGACAATTTATTCTACTACAAAAAAAAAGAAAAAAGGAAAAAATCCATTTTTTTTAAATATCTGCTGATGTTGAAATTCTTAAAAAATTATCATCAAGTATGCAATTCAAAACCAAATAAGAATGCATAACAAACACATTTTCAAGTAAAGATAAAGTGTCAAAAGTCAAGTTGTCTCTTATGCCATAAAGAGAGAGAAAATATTCAAATGTGTAGAAAAAATATGTAGAGAAAATCCTAAACTTTATTCAATGGCCAAATCACCATATTCAAGCAAGATTCTTCATAAAGAACTTTATGTCTTAAAAACACTCCCAAGATTTGACTTGACAAAGAATGCCAAGTCAAGAGACTTTTCCACCCAAAATCTTTTAATCCTAATTGACATTAACAAGGTCAATTAACATAAAGCACTAAATAGATGAAAACTCTCTAAACTAAAGTAGATTACATCTATCCAACGTAGTATGGCACCCAATGCTAAGTCACATGACAATTGTTGAGTAAATAAAGATTGTCATATATAGCAGATTAAGTGCCAAAAACCATCTTTTAAAAACCTAATAAAAATGCATAACAAATATACCTTGAAGTGCCCTTATTAATTGATTAGAAGCCCCAACAATCAACTAAGAATACAATACATATATTGTTAGAGATGAATGTCATAGTGGTCTTATTACACATATTGTATATGTCAAAGCTAATGTTGTGATAGTGAGATTACCAAAACATGTAGCAAACTTAGAAGCAAAAGTTATCAATTCTTGTGAATAGTTGAAACATGACTAGAAGACTTATTACTATACAAACAATCCAATTTCTTAAAAGAAGAATTTAAAGAGATGGTGTCAAATATACTATTTGCCACCTACATTGACACTAATCATATAATAGCAGGTAGCAATTCTTTTCTTCTTGGCATATACAAAACAAAAGAGACTATCTAGCATAATTGCTAATTCAAGTTGTACCAAATTATTAATAAAAGGATGACGTAGGGCACAATTCTTACTAGTTGTTCAATTAAGCTATTTACCTCATGATAATTCATAGGTATGGTGTGATGGTCTTTTAAATCTTTAGTAGACAAAGCTTCAAAAGACCTAAGAAACTTTGTCACTTAATTTGTCAAGTCTTCAACACAAGTTCTAAAACTTGTCAAAACATAATCAAGAAAAGTCATGGATGACAACTTTGAAGAATTTTGTATAAAAGTGACAAGTTCAATTCACTTGTTAAAATGCTCCATGTGGAGTCATAGCAAGTAGCCTATCAAAGTCTAAAGACCAATGATAGCTCAAAGCCATGATGGATAAATTCCTCAACTACAATAATAAATCATTAAAACTTGACTTAAATTAATTGCATATTTCACAATAAAAAACATATGTAACAACCTATTCATATATACTAGTCTATTAATATTGGTTGTATAATATAAAATGTATCTTGTGCATCTAAAAATATCTAAGCTCTTCATATATTTGCCATACTAGAAAAACTTTTTGATGTGGCCATAGAACTATGTGCTTAGCTTTATTAGACCACATATAATATAATAAATCATTCTTCCAACAAAACCTTGTTATATGGTGAATAATCTTACTTTACTCTATAACAAAGATAGCTAAAAGAAATGTCTTTTATTGAAATTTGTGAAAGCCCATAAGATCCTTCTATATATTACTAATTACTTAGGTTCTATCAAATTTCTTATTTGAATATTAATCAAGAATTATAGATATAAAGTATGTCATCAAAGCAAAGTATGTTGCTACATGTTATCTAAAAATTGTCTCTTTGTTGCAACCTCAAAGTTCTATTTCTAAAGCAAAAATGTCTATCTAACAAGCTTGTAAGTAAGTTTTTTTGATTTCATAAGCTACTTTAAAATTTGATGGTCACTTACTAATGTAAACCATTGCCTATACAAGTAAAGTTGGAAGTGAGCAATGGCTCAAATTGCCACCAAAGCTTTTCTTTATAAGATAAATAATTGTACTTTATATTGTTATTGCTTCTACAAGCAAATGCAATGACAAATTTTTGCCATATATTATCCTTCTTTGTCAAGATTGCTCCCAATCCTATTGCACTCTAGTCTATGTAGAATTGAAAAGATTTAGTAGCATTTGGACATAAGAGTAAAAAAATTGAATCCAACTTTTGTTTCAATGTATCAAATGCATACTATTGTTCACAATCCTAAGTTCATGGTAGATCCTTACTTATAAAAGTAATTAAAGACTTGGGAATAAATCCAAAATTCTTGATAATTTAACTATAGTAATTTGCTAAGTAAAAAAAAGCTCAAAGTCATGAAACATCAATTGGTGTTAAGATCTTTTGCAAAGCATCTATCTTTGCTTATTGCAGGCCAAGACTTCTCAAAAAAGTCATCTGATCCAAATTTGGTAACTATTTGCTGTCCCGCTGGGTCAACCTGGTCCGCCTGACTAGCCTTGTCAGTTCTATTATCGACTAATTTCTTAGTATCTGGGCACTCAATATCGTAGCCAAGACAATGTCAACTTGACTTAACCTTGGAATAATTCTCTTATTTGCTGCACATTTTTATTGGAAAATTTGGAAAAACGGAGCTTCTGAATCCTAACTCTATGGTGCACTTGATTGAGACAGATCCTCGTAAGATATTGTTATTAATCGTAATTGAAATACTTGTTTTACTTCCGATCATGTAATACACAAATTCCCTATTGGAATACCACTAGACTCGCACTTCATCGAAGCATGGTTGTAGAGCGGCGGTAGACTATTAGGCGGGACATTCCAAAGTCAGAGAGAAAGAGTCCCTCTTTCAAACTCTAGTTATACTATAATCTACCTATTATTGTCTGTTCTACCTTATCATCGTTGCAATTTGCTAGCTTTAAACTTCGATACCCTAAGCAACAAATATATTACTGTTGTTCATCTATTTGAGGTTTATTAGCTTACATTTTACCATGTTTGCTAGCTCGCATTCTGTCCTCAGATGCACGATTGATATAACTTCGTTTATGTCCTTTGGTGATCTACTTGTTGATGCTCTTGGTTTTGGTGGTTGCAAAATTGTGCTTCCTGGAGGAACTCCACCATATGTGTCGTGAAGAACTTTGGCGAGCGATTGGTGCATTTGAAGTATTTTATCTTTTACAACCATCGTATATTGATATATTTTGCGCATTGTTGTCCTTCTTTTGGGACAAAGTATACACTCTGTATTTGCGTTTGGGTCATTATATAACTCGATACAATCTGTGATTTTTCCAAAATATCCAAGTACTGCTATATCGCAGTCACGATGTAATTTGTCGTCTTCTTTGAAACTTGTACTCTTTTGATCAAATTTACTCTTCCAGGCCATTAGGGTTTTACGGTGGTATGTATGTGAATAAATCTGGGGTGGTGGAAGTGATGCCTTGGCTCTAGCCGCCTCCGGGGTTCATTCGATGACTGCTGGTGCACCTGGTCTTGAGACAAGAGGTAGTATGATATTTTGAAATGGTTTTGATATTTCAGTGACTACGGAGGTGGCTACATTTGTCGGGATGGTGTTGTGGTGATGATTGTCCCATGCTCCATTATCAGGCCTCCATCTTTTGTCTTCGTCTAGTAGTTATATCGAATTCACCGCTTCTTGTATATATTTCTAGATAAAATACGCCTTTTTGTGGGATGGGATGTTTGATTTTTACTTGATTACTGTTAATATTTGATCAACAATCATCGTAATTGTTTCCTTGAGCCAGCCAAACCAATTTGCAATAAGATTTTGCGTCATGTTTTCTATAATAATTCGGTCTTTTTCTTGTTGTTCATTTCATTGTGTCTTTTCAGTTGCCGTCATTCTTTTAATCTCGGACAATTGAAGCATTTCTCATTGCAATGTGTCATTAGTGGCTGCTAGATCATTGTGATGTCTTTTGATCGTATCCTTGTTGGACTCCAATGTTGCTATTTACCAAAATAATGCAGCTATCTGTTTGTCGTATTCTGTGATTATTTGCTAAATCTTATCTCGTTCTACGCGTAATGTGTCGATGTCTTTTTGCATTTTTTGCTTACTGGTCTCTTGCAATTGTACTGTTTCTTTTAACGCCTTTTATTGTCGTCATAGCTTAAAAATGATCGTTGCTTGATCGGCTTTGATACGGAGTTGCTCTTTCAAGTCTTTATTTATTTTTTTATTAGCTGTTGTGCCTATTCTTCTTTTTCTTCTACACAATTTAATAGATTTCTAGTTAGATCTAAAACGGCGTGAAGATGACGATTGATTGTGTCTTTGTATAGATAGCCAACTTGTACTGGTGGAGACTCTGCTGATTCCGAAACAGGTTTTGCTGGGGGCTCGGGGGTTTGATTTCTTTGATTCATGCCTTCTTTGCATGAAATTGAATTGTGCATTCCGTGCTTTGTTTGTTG